AGGGAATGGCATAAATCTAAGCTTCGAAAACGTTTCAATCGTTTAGAAGACGAAAGGCTGGCCGATGCACAAATCCTCCAAATAGAGGCCGGCGCCGATTTCTTCATCCATCTTTCAATCACCACTGTAGATGCTGTCTCATCTCATTCGACCAGATTCCCAGTTTGTGCAGATGCTCTCTTTGCCTGCGATGCCCAATGACGTTGCTTGTAATGATTCTAAGTTTTTATTTGGAGAGGTTACAATACAATCTAAAAAAAAATACAAACTTTTAGGTATTTTTTTTAAGATTGTATTCCACCAGTAAGTTTTTGGCTTGGAAAGGTCCTGTTGTACTATGCCAGTGCTGTTCTCTACTACTTATTGTTACTTTTCTAAGCTCTTGTCATGCAATTGCAAAGAATAGCTCGGTACTTATTGGATTCGATGCCGCAGCTAAGCCGTCCGCTATCTTATTCCACTGCATTCACTTGTGACCTGGTACCCAGAGTAGCTGAATATTATATTATTCAGTAAGGGCATTCATGTTCTCAATGCACTTAAGCACTAAGGATAATTTAAACTCGCAGAATGAACTGTCAAGATTCCTCATTCCCAGCCATTTTATATGAAGAAAACAACGCAGAATTTAAATTTTTGTAAAGGGGTTACGTGTTGAAATTGGGTGCAGAAGACCGAAGGCAAATAAGAAGCAAGTAAAAGAGAAAACAAGAATAAAAATGGGAGGAAATGAGAAAATGGTACAACTTTGACACGTTTATTTAGGTATAGCACGCGACGTCACTAGTTGGCATTAGAAACGCCACGCGTGGCGCTCCAATTTAGTGTCAGCAGTAAATCAGTTCTCGAAATCGGAGCAACCGACCCATAGGTTAGTCTTGGTAGGACTATCATGGTGTACATCCAACTGTACACCGTCAACTTCAATATGAGATTTCCATAGAAGACGAAAAATGTATGACACCTAAGTATTTCGCTTCGGAGGAGAGACTCATAATAGCTCCCTCTAATCTCGACAGGGAAAACGGCGGAAACCAGACCAGTCATGATTTGGACGGTTAAACGCCCCATGTTGAAAAGATTCTTTGGCTATTCAGCCATGATTGCACAACGAAAGCAAGAGCCCGCGAAGACAATGAAAGTCCCCGAGCAGTTATGAGAAATATGCCTTAACTGGTATTACATAGCTATGACAACTGACTAATCGTTAACCAGTATTATGCTAATGCATTGGTTGCCTAATGCACCTTAACAGAACTTCGTTTTTAGGAAAACTAGTAGTAGGCCAGTTGAGAGCTGGTAACTTCGACTGCATGCAGGGTAATGCGTCATATAAGCACACAGTTACAAAAACCAATGTGCGAACATCACATGTGTATTCTTTGTTGGCATGAAAATGGAAAATGAATGTGAAATGCTTGACACTGCAACGCCTTCACCATAACGCATGTCTTTGTGCGGTATTGCGGCATGCAGCTCCAACTATATGTAGAAGCGCCAGCACCAACAGCTGCAGCAGTGTGACAATTTGAAATAAAACAAAAAAAAACATACAAGAATCTAAGGCAGTAAAGCCAGCAACAACAACCAACCACTTGCAAAGCGACGGGCAGGAAACGGCAATGAGGGAGGACACTCGTTAAAAGCGTTTCCTCACTTTGCATTGGCACACAAGCGAAAGTTATGTAATGAAAAGAAAAGTTGGTAGTAAACCAAAATGAAATGAAATTTATTATGTGAACTTGCACACATACCTATATGTACATACATCCTTTAAAGCACATGTACACACATCCTTTAATGCCGACACATAATTTCTTACTTAAATGAAGTGGCAAACGACAACGTTGGGTAACATTTTACTTTCATTCTATTGTATTCTGGCTTTGGCTTTATTGAGCTCGCATGCTAACCAAAGTGAAAAAATTTAATGAACAGCATTCCTTTCGAGCGAGGAGGCGTGTACGTCAAGGTCACATGCCAACACTAAATAGTATTCGTAATAAAGAAGCAGTGAATGAATGGTTTGACACAGAATTCATGTAATATTTAGAGCATTTGATGTGAAAGTGAAATGGGTAATAGCAGTGGTGAGTGTTGGCTAAATATTTAGGATAAGCGAAAATATTTGCAATTTTGGGATTTGGGTTTTATTAGTTCGTCCCAAGTGCCAATAGCAATTGACAGTGATTCGATTTTATTTCGGAATCGATTCAGTGATTTTAAAAGGGTCAGAAAAGGGCCAGTGATGCATGAAAGGGGTCACAATGGTGCCTTTCATTGAGTACTAAAAGCTTCACATCTACTCACATTTATTAGATACTCTTATTGTGCAGACACGTTTCTGCTGAGCCACACGCTTAGACTATCTTAAAATCTTTACAAATTTTCGTGAATACAAATTGGGGCTTTTACAGTTTATTGAGTTTTTGATAGTTTGTACGTGCTGGCACTTCACTTCGCTGGGCGTGTTTGGTTTTTGGTTGTTAACAAAACATAATTTATGGCATAAGTTAGCATTTTGTACGAAACGCTTCATTAACGTTAAATAACATTAAGAATTACTAGACGTTGTGGATTTTGAATAATTTAAGGCTAAATGGAGAAAAATTTCTAAATTGAAATGTGGAAAATAGATTCTAATTTTTCAGCTGTCTTTCTTTGTTTCTTGTTTGCATCCTTGTGATAAAATTAGCCTGAATATTCGTAACTTCGTAATCAATACGTTCTTTACTGTCAAGAATGATTTTGAAGTATGTTTTGATAATATTTACTATTGAGTACAGGATATTTTAAGAGGCTACTTAATACTATAACATGTCTCGCTCAATTGAGTTGAGTGGCTCTAAGTTGAGTTGGGATGAGGTGAAATAAGTGAGGTGAGATAAGTTGAGGTTAGTTAAGTGTGTTGAAATAAGTTACAAGGCAGTTCTTGCTAAGATAGTAAAAAGTCTTTCGTAAGACAAATGAAAGACAGATGGCAAAACAGTTCGAAAGACTTTTGATATTCTAGAACAAAAGTCTTAGGATAAAGTTCTCTCATTCACCACTCGAGGTGGAAAGTTTGCGTCGCTCCAGCAGTCGCAATTGCCGAGTAAGCAAGCCACAGGGGTGCTAATCGAGAGATCCGATTTGGAGCCCTAGGTCATTTACTTTTTAGTTTTGAAAAACTTATTTTATGATTTTTTTTTACTTTTTCTTTCCTAATTTAATTTTATTTTAATGTTTAGATATTATTCTTTAAAACAAAGACATATTTTTTAATTTCATTTAAATTTTAAGAATTTATTTTATGTTTTTCTTTTTTAAAATAAATTTGTATCTTTTTAACCGACTTCAAAACAGGAGAAGGTTGTCATTTCGTCGGAATATTTTTTTTATGTATGTTACCGCATAACTTTGGACCACTGATTACAATAATTCTTTTTCTATCGGAAAGGCAGTGTCTCCGAGGTGGTCGCATACTAATTTGGTTTAGATGCGATCATTGGATCATAAGGAAATTAACGGTATTCTAATTTTTATATGAAGAAGGAGTCCGTTGTGTTTTTTGCTTAAAAATTATTTCAGTTTAAAATTCTTTTACCTTTTAGATTTTACTGTTTAAAAACAGAAACATGTTTCTTTAGCTTCATTTAAAATTTAGTATTCTACTTTATACTTTTTTTCTTTTTTTTAAATTGGTTTTTCTGTTAATTTAATTTTCTTTTAATTTTTTGTTGGATCTTTTTTAAGGATATTTTTTATTTATCAATTTTTCACTTTATTTTTTTATTGAATTTTTCAAATTAATTTTTAGATTTTAAAGTTTAAAAAAGAAAAAAAAATATTTTTTAGTTACATTAAATCTTTAACAATATTTTAAATTATTTTTTGGTTTATTTCTACTTAATATTATTTTTTCAATTTTTAATTGTTTAAAAAAGAATATATATATTTTTTTTTAATTTGATTCAACTTTAAAAAACGTATTGCACAAATATTAACAGTTTAACGCTAAGACCTCCTCATTAATTAATCAGTATAGTTGCCAGAGTCGACATTTGTTCTACGAAAGTCATTTGTCTTTCGAAAGATAGTGATGAGTTGAAAGACAGTTGCCAGAATTGCCCTGTTAAGGTAAGTTGAGTTGACGAGAAGTGAGGTAAGGTGAACTCAGTTGAGGTTAGATACGGTAAGTCAAGGTGAGGTGAGTTAAGGAGATGTGAAATAAGTTGAGATGAGTTCAAGCGTGTGCTGGTGAGATAAGGTGAGGTGTAGTGAGTCGATGTGAGATAATGTGAGGTGAGTTAAGGTTTTGTCTTTATCTCATCCTTTTTTTCTTTGTTTTAATGTGTTCCTTTATCTTCATATTTACCTGTTCCTCGATCTTTATTTTTAACTTTGTCTTGGTCTTTGTCCTTATCTCTATTTTTCGCTCTCTTTGTCTTTCTCTTCCTCTTCATCATTGTTTTTGTATTCTACTTCGGTTTTTGTCTTCGCTTATTTCTTTGTGTTCGTTTTAATCCAAATTTCACTCTTTATCTTAACCTTTATTCTATTTTTGACAAGTTGTTTTCATAAGACTAAAATTATATTGTACATCGATAAGACAGGCCCTTTAATTTGTCACCTCATTTTTTGAAAATGCAACGAACGATACAGATCTGATTACCTGGTGTTTGGTATTTAACGCAAACATCTCCGAACTCAATTAAAAATTTTCACTTCAAAACCCAAAAATTCTGTCGGTTTTTTGCCTTAACAATATAAACAAAGCCAATATAGTCAATAGTCTCAATAATCAAAGTCTTTGTCTCTGTTCTCAATTTTCGGTGCACCATGGCGTATGAAATATGAGAAGATATTTTTCCCTCCTAAGAACTACTTAACTACACTTTTTTGCAAGAAAACACATAACTTAACTAGAAATAAAGTTATTAGGCAAATTTTAATTGCATTAAAACCAATAATCATGGCTGTTTATAATAAACCTAATATAATTTCCATTTCACTTTCAGTTCAAATGGCCTCGCAACGTGCTGCAAATATATATGAACATACAAATATTATTACCCACACGAGCCGATAAATTCTCCATAAAACTATCAGCATGACGTAGCACCAAGAGCCCCGAACAAGTATTTTCAAATTACACCAATTTGGAACCACTCCAAATATCAGCAATACGAAATTGCGCGAATAAAACTGTGATAGTTGTAGAGGAAAAATAGACTTGGGTCGACAATCGCAAGAAACCAACAGCAACAGCAACAGCAAAATGCAGTCCAAGCGAGAGGAACAAATTGCACTCATTGCCTGCATCTCCCTGATATTTATGCTCAATTTGTTGCTGACGACAGCAGCGGCCAAAGAAAATATACCCAGTATATATGCAAATGAAGATTTGCGAGAAGAACATACACAGCCAGAGCGTCATAGACAACAACACAAGAAACATCAACATCAAAATCATCATCACCAACAGCAGCAGCGACGGCAGCAGCATCACCGTCGGCATGCGTTGCATGAGCGCGAAAAGCGTGAGAAGGAGGTGGGCGAGGTGTCGCACAGAGCAAATCAACAACGCACACACCACGAACATGTGCAGCACCAACACCAACATCATCAGCAGCAGCAGCAACAACAACACACGCGACAGCATCGCCAACATCGCGGCCACACACACAATCCTGCCATTGGTGGCTATGCCGCCAGCTATCTCAGCGACAGCAGCAGTCATCCTTCATCATCGGCGTCTTCTTCATCCCACGCGCAAGCACCGTCGTCGCCGTCTTCATCTGCATTTTATAAACGCTACTCACGTGACTCGGCGGCATTTCCAGCACGTGAACGCAAGCCCAACATTATTCTTATACTCACCGACGACCAGGATGTCGAGCTGGGATCGTTGAATTTTATGCCGCGCACTCTACGTTGGTTGCGCGATGGCGGCGCCGAATTTCGTCACGCCTACACGACTACGCCCATGTGCTGCCCGGCGCGCTCCTCACTGCTGACCGGCATGTACGTACACAATCACCAGGTCTTCACCAACAACGACAATTGTTCGAGTCCACAGTGGCAGGCCACGCACGAGACGCGCTCCTTTGCTACATATCTTTCGAATGCTGGCTATCGCACAGGTTACTTTGGCAAGTACCTGAACAAGTACAATGGGTCGTATATACCGCCGGGTTGGCGAGAATGGGGTGGTCTAATTATGAATTCGAAATACTACAATTACAGCATTAACATGAATGGGCAGAAGATCAAGCATGGTTTCGATTATGCGAAGGTAAGTGCGTGTGTAGGAGTTGGATTTACATAAGTTATTGCCCACAGAGTCGGCTGCAGTTGAATATTCACAATACGTTGAACATATTAATATACGCACTGTATTGGATTGGATCTGAGTAGGCCGAGAAATCGCTAAGCTGAAAATCAATTATGGTGATTAAAACCTTAGATCCTTAGAAGAGGAAAAAGCGGATATTATAAGCATAGCTCTTCCTCAAATTTTTGTTGCGAGTTGAGCTGAAATATTGGAAGCTGGAAAAAGAAAGAGGTCTGAGTTTTCTCCAGGCAAGTGACATAAATACATATCCCGGGCTGGCAATAATACCAATGCAATTAAATGTTGGTTCCATGGATTTTGACTCATGGTAACGATCTTAGCTCCTTCCCTTTGAGCTTTAAAGGAAATACCGTACCGTGCGTCCTCTTTGGATTTTGTTTTGCAGATGTTAAAGCTTCGCCAACGATTCCTTTGTCCATTATTGAGGATATCTCAAATCAACCCAACGATTCCTATAAAATTTGGGCTGATGATAGGCTCTGGTCACATCGAGTGAGTTCTCAGCAGTGCATTACCCTGAACACTCTGGTATCCTCGTCCTAACAAAGTTTCAGGTGGTAAGAAGCTTTCTCCAAAGGCGGTATCGATGTCACTATAGATCTTTATTTGGACACTTCTATCTACATAGTCCTATGCCGATTACTTAGAGAGAGAGAGAACCTGGATTAATTTATTGCTTTCTAGAACATCGACTTTAAATTTGCTATTGGAATTTAACTCCGACAAGAGTTCATCATTTGGTGCATGTATATAGCAATAGATATTGGTCTGGAATATTCTTAAATACATAGTTTCCGGAGCCCAAGGATCGCGCCGTAGTACTTAAGCCTATGTTAGTTGAACGTCCTTTTACGCTGGGGTTGCACCTCACTCAGCTAGTTTATGACAAGGCCGTACCCAAATAACTCAAATATGATGAAATAGCTGTCCTGTAGAATATTGAGGAGTAAAATCGTTAAACTCCAATTAATGAATCCTAAAAGTGCCTTGATGGACGAATTCTTTATTACAAAGTGTTTGAAATTTTTTAATGAATTTTTGACTAGCAAAGGCCAGACAGTCACAAAGAATATGTTCGGAAGTTTCATAGACCTCAAGGCAAAGTCCGCATTCTAACTCTTCGATAACATATATTCGGTGCATAAGAAATCATTGACGGATGTGACCAATTAGGTTTCCAGAGAGGATATTAAAAGGGTAGCCGAAGAGCCTGGCCTGTTTGTGACCCTACACCGCCCCCAATACTTACTGCGTGCAGAGTGTATCCACAAATAATTTCTATCCTAAAAAGGCAGTTAAGGTTCCTTCTCTTGTGCTAAGTGTTTAGCCTGGCTTCTCCTTCAATTTGCGCTTGCATCTTAATGTTGTTATGCAAATGAAGGTACCTACTGCTTCCGAAAGCCATATGGATTTTTAGAGAAGCTTTTTCATCGCTGAAAAACACTCGAAGAATGAAATACCCAATACTGCCTGTCGTGGGCCCATGGTGTCAGAAGAAACGTTGGATATTACCCGGACCAGGGATCGAACCCATGACCTACGGAGTGGTAGGAGGCATCTCTACCCACTCATGCATGTGATCAATAAAGCAGGCTATATCTTTAAAGGAAAGACAAATTTAACAGGCAGTGGGAGGCCCTTAAAGATTTAATGTGGTGCAGGTTAAGATGTCTAATACTTCAGCCTGCAACAACATAGGCCATCTGCCTATGAGAATAACAAGCTTTCTGCGGGGACCATATATACATCCACCTGATATGTCCTTCATCCTTAAAACGTGTGTGTACCAATGTACAAACACATTTGGGGTCTAGGGCAGGGAGTCCGTTTGCCCAGTCTTCGCGATATGGGAGTCAGAAATTCCGCATATTTTCAACCCTGAAGCTTCTTAGTAAGTTGAGCAAGTTATTATTGATCCAGGGACAGAAAACATGCCAATCTTGTTGAGACGTACTCTGCCAGTTTTTTTGCAGTGTCTTCTGCCAGGTCCTATAAAAATTAGTTGCATAGCTCAAGTTATCTATCTCAGCTTTATAAAGAGTGACTCTGTCTAAAATCATGTGTGGTACCAATTATTTTATCTTACTCTTCTTGAGGAGCCCATTTAACCGATGTCCTAAATTTCGTTTAGTAGTTGTTGTCTCTATCTCCACAAGTTTATGTTTCCCGTTCTTACAGGATTTCTATCCCGACCTAATAGCGAACGATTCCATAGCATTTCTACGTTCATCAAAACAGCAAAACCAAAGAAAACCTGTGATGTTAACAATGAGTTTTCCAGCGCCACATGGACCTGAAGACTCAGCGCCACAATATAGTCATCTCTTCTTCAATGTGACAACACATCAGTAAGTTCATAAAGCCACCATTTTATATACATACATTCATATTTATGTTTACGGGCATAATTTGCATATGTGTTTCTGTGATCTCCTAAAAGCACACCTTCTTACGATCACGCACCTAATCCGGATAAGCAATGGATACTGCGCGTCACACCGCCAATGGAACCAGTGCACAAACGCTTCACGAACTTATTGATGACAAAACGACTGCAAACGTTGCAGAGTGTAGATGTCGCCGTGGAGCGTGTATGCAACGAGCTTAGAGCGTTGGGTGAACTAGATAACACTTACATCATCTATACCTCCGATCACGGCTATCACTTGGGTCAGTTCGGTTTGATAAAAGGAAAAAGTTTTCCATTTGAGTTTGATGTGCGTGTGCCTTTCTTGATACGTGGACCAGGCATACAACCGGCAAGGGTGTAAGCTTCTAGTTCTAAATAATTTCCTGTTGGTAAGAATTCTCAAAGACGGGTTTCGTTTTAGGGTCGACGAGATCGTCTTGAATGTCGATCTGGCGCCCACTTTTCTGGACATTGGTGGTGTCACAACGCCGCAACATATGGACGGACGCAGCATTTTACCGCTACTATTCAGTCGTCAACGTAATGTGCGTGATCAGTGGCCAGATACGTTTTTGATTGAGAGCTCTGGACGACGCGAGACACCTGAACAAATTACCGAGTCACGTGCACGTCTGCAGGCGGATCGACTGAATATGAGGCTTGCGAATAGCACCTTTATTGATGGGTTCACGTTTAATGAGACCACAGCTACTGGCTCAGCAGTAGATGTGGTCGATTTGGAATCGCGAGAAGAGGCAGAATTCGAAGAAGGTGCGGGTTCGGAAGCCGAAAGAGGTGGGTGCAAAAGTGATAAAATAGTAAAGTCGGAATTTGAATTCCCTTCCCCACTAGGATTCTTCTATATCGAAAAAATATCCGCCTGTTTTTTTAAATCAAAAACTATGTATTTCGAGAAAGACATATTTATATAGGCATACATAGTACAGAATTCTTTAAAATCAGCATTTTTCAATCGGCAAACTCTGTTTCTTCTCATGAGACTTCAAAAGATAATACCCAATTGTTTATTAAAAACTTTTTTGTATAAATTATTTTTTATTTGTCCTCCAAAACCCCCAAAAAAATGCAATGAAGTCTCGTGAAGAGAAATAAAGTCTATGAAAATTTAATTTTTTTTCATATAAAAAACATGCGAACTTTGAGTGAATACTAAATAATTTTTGATTTAAAATAGAATGGTATATTTATGTTCGATATCGAACAATCCTAGGGGGTGAGAGGATTAAAATTCCGACTTACTTTTTTCTCATGAATTTTTAGACCACCCTAATGTACATATGTGTAACTTATCCTTATGTACTTCATTACAGTAGCGCAAATTGAGACGGAAATAGAGGACGATGCTGAGGACAATCTCGACACCGACACCGATATCGAGGATGATGTGTCTTCTGGTGTTTTAGATGAAGATATTGAAGATGAATTGGATGTGGATGCAGCACAAGAAGAGGGTTTAGATCAAGAGCAGCAGGATCAATTCGACAACAACCTGCCAATGGCGCCGTATATGACGAAAATGATGCGTTTAAATTCAGAATGTTCTGATCCATCCTTGCTGGAAAATTGCCGACATGGACAAAAGTGGAAGTGCGTTAACGAAGATGGTCGTTGGCGTAAGCACAAATGCAAATTTCATGTGAGTCGATTTCGATTTTATTTAGTTGAATTATTTCAGATTATTTTAAAGCTATCAGAAATATTTAGTACCCTGGTTGGCTTGATTTTTGTAGTTTCATGTTATCTTATCATCCCTGAACTGATTTATCTAACTTTAGTTACAGCTGCAACATCATCTCGAGGAGATATCGAAATTTACGAAAAAGGAAACGAAACGTAACTGCGCGTGCTTCACACCAGATGGTGTTGTCTATACGAAAATCAAAACAAGCCGTAGTTACTTCGATGGAGATCGCATTCGAAAGAGGTGAGTGGCCTTTACATAAAACATATTGACACATAGAAGGGGATTGTGAAAAATTGAGTTACTTGCATTGATCGCACCTTAGTCCCGCCCCAATTCGCTCTTGGTTGCTCACACCGTCTGCTCCGTGATGCCGGCACGTGTCATCGACAGCTGGGTCCCATGAATGATGACGCCACCACACGAAGTATAGGCAGATGCAGCAACTCGCCTGATAATAAAAGCTGGCACAGTTCTTATATATAGCATAAAGCGGCATAAGATCGAACTTTGCTCTCGTGGATCACCGCACCTACAAACTTTTGTCAAATTCAAAAAATCTTACTATGAATCATTCGAGCACTCTCTTTTCTCTTCCCACATCAACAGATTTTGATTTTGGCGAACGCCAATTGCTCAATTTAGTCATTGTTGAGCAGCCCCTTTCATTTTGTCCGGACGACCGGTGAAAACCCGCCCAAATTTCCTGTCTGAACCGGCTGTAATAGCGAATGGGCGTTACCATCATTGCTGGGTCGATACCGGGGATCCCCAAATTAAGCATCTAAAACTAAAGATTAGACAACAGGAAAACCAACGCATCTGAAGAAAATTTGATGAGTTTTTGAAGCCATGGAACATCACCTCTTATGTGAGCAAGCTTGGTCAAGCGTATGGTCGCTGTTCAACTCGAGTAAGGGCGATGACAAAGTGGAGATTTTATTCGGCCATCGCGTATCATGGGATCCGAAGCGAAGCGTGAGCTAGTATAGCCAAAAATTCATGCCAGATCAGAAGACTGCACAAACTGCCAAAATCCAGTGCTTTCGGACTTTTGCCAGTGGCAAACCTCGAGGCCGAAGCCTAAGGCACAAATGGGTTAGACAGGAATAGACTACCTCACTACCTTAAAAAAGTTCCCAATCTGTTGATGACCACTCTCCAAATTTGTGCAAATCAGGTACAGTGGTCACACTGCTAAAATCAGGAAAAACTGTCCACAAATGGGAGTGTTATCGTCCCAAAACAGTCCAACTCTTCTGAGGTCGGCAATGGTCACTAATATTTTAAGATAAACCATCAAAGCCCAGAGAAAAATTCTGCTTCTGTTTAGTTTTAATATATCGAGAACCAGGACTACATATGACTACTACTGGACCCGACGCCGCACAGATAGGCATTAACGGTGTTCACACAGTGACCATCATCACCTCCATTAACCCTCGTCCCATGCATATCATCATCGGAATTCAACCGTCACCTAATATAAAGAAAGAGCTTCAGCTGTCTCGCGAGATCTGAGTTACTCTGTAAATTGCAGCAGATTAAACTCTTGCCTAACTAAACTCGACCATGACGTACCCTAGATATGTTTCGCAAGCGAATTTTCCCTAGCACATGCGGTTTAAATCCGACCTCTCTCCTTTCTATTCGGGGGTCTAACTTCAGTTGAGCTCGGTGACAACGATTGAAAGATTAGCTGATTCTAGACAAAGCTATGTAAGTAGACACAACGGGCAGATCGACCATTGAATGTCTTCCCGGTGAGCAGTATCCCAGCATTAAACCAAATATCAGATGATTTTTACAAGAATAAGATAATTTATTAACTCGCGAACTCAAAAAATTTTAGTTTATATCATTCACTCGATAATGGCATTTAGCGCCTATAAGTTACTTATTTATAGGTGTAATTTATTTCGGTTTAAAATATCTTCGAACAATTATTTCCATTGACTTTTCATTTTCTTTTATTTCACTCTTTCCCTCCAGAACTCAGAATCCATCACGCTTTTCTCGACGCGAGAAACGGTCTTCGCAAGACTACTCTGAAATTTTCCATACGGAGCTGCCGTACGAGATGGAAGAACTGCTTGATCTGCAAGATACGCTCTCCATGGTTGAAGAACAGTTGACTCAACCGAAACGTACCAAACGTGAACTAACCTCCAGCTTCTTCGAAACACGTCCCACCAACGATGCCAATGCCGAAAACAGCTTCAAATCGGGCACCAACTCAGCCAATGATTCCATTTCCAAGGTCATACAAGAAATCCAAAGCACACTTGAAACTCTCGAATTGAAATTTATTGCTCCAAATGATTTGCATCAACCTAATAATACGACTACCTTGTCGGCAGCTGGCTTCGTGCGAGGTGGCAAATTTCCCAAAGTGGGTGGGCGTGTGGGCACACGCTGTTACATTGAATCGCAAACCGGCAAGGTGAACTGCTCTGATGTCATTTACGATGATGAAAAGACATGGCGTAAGTCGCGCAATCAAATTGATATGCTAATCAAAGTGCTCAAGGATAAAATAACGCACTTGAAGGATATCAAGAAGCAAATGCGCGAGAATAAACAACAACAGCTGAGCCAACAACAGCAACAGCAGCAATTGCATTATCACTCCGGACGTTATTGGGATAGGGACTATGTGCCACGCAATGGTGCCGGTGCTGGTGTGAACAGAAATAAGGCGACGGAGCAAGCAACTGGCGATGAGCTGCCATACAATGTATCGGATTACTTGGGGCGCAGACAAAAGGGGCGTCGACGTAATGGCGGTGGTGGCCTAAATAATAACCATTTCTATCAGCGCGGCGGTTACCATCATCATAACTACAATCATCAGCAATACCGGGGGCAGCATTTGGCTGGCGGCGCGGGAGGAGGTGGACGTCGACGCTACGACAAGACGCTGGGTGGACGCGAGTTCGATATGAACTACTTCACACAAGGACATTTCGGCTTTGGCGTGACAACCACGTACAGTAATGAGATTAACAATGAAAATGGCAGTGGTGCGAGCTCAGGCTCAGGGGCGGCTGCGGCTGCGGGTAGTTATGGTGTTAAAAGCACGTACGGTAAAGGCCGCATTCAGGGCCACAATGGCAGTTTGGGCGGCGGACAGTCACAATTGCAAAGGAGACGACGGCCACAAGTGACAAATGCAACTGTCGCACAGGTATTCACTACAACACAAACAACATCACCGTCCATAGCGCGTCCAACAACAGTGAGGCTAATGGGTGGAGGGAGGGCAATGACGACGACAACGACAACAACTGCACGAACAACCACAAGCAAAGATGAAGAGTCCTTTGCGGATGCTACGGCAGCTAAACCTGCTACAACCGCTACCGTAACTGAGGAGACAGCAACAGCAGCTAGCACGAAAACAACAACAAAAACACGTACGCTATGGTCGACAACACATGCACCAACAAACATTAGTATTGCGCCCAGCAGCAGTGAGAGTAGTGAGTTTGTGACATACATATGTGCCACAATCAACTTGGCTTGCCAGCTCCTTTGGCATTGCTCTACATGCATTGACTATTTTTTTTCTATTACATTTGCAGTCACCACAAAGGATCCACGTGAAGTCGATGTGCTCAGCAATCAAGGCCAAAAGGAAGTTTTTACAGGCTTGGGCAATACGCACAACGCTGACCCATTTGAGCAGCAAAAGGGTCAACCAGCTGAGTGCTACTGTGAACCGGATACAGAGAGGTGCGGCGACACTTAATACCGTTATATGTCAATTTCTTTGTGCTCTTCTTTTTTCTTTATTTAATTCGATTCTCAATTTTAGTTATGCTGATTCAAAGGAGATAGCACGCGAGGCACGTCGCAAACTAAAGGAGGAGCGACAGCGGAAAAAGGAACGGAAACGCATCAAGAAGGCACGTCTAGAGAAGGAATGCCTTTCGGAGAAGATGAACTGTTTTTCGCACGATAATACACATTGGCGTACGGCGCCACTTTGGAACGATAGTCCGTTCTGTTTCTGCATGAATGCCAACAACAATACCTACTCATGCGTGCGCACCATAAATGCAACACATAATTATTTGTACTGTGAATTCACCACTGGTTTGATAACGTTCTATAATTTGAAAATCGGTGAGTATTGGAAAATACTGTGGGGATTCTGTAAGATATATTTAAATGATTAAAAATTGCTTTACTGAGTTCCGTTGCAGACCACAGTGGTTCAAAACAATGTTTACTGTTCATAATTCACTGGAGCCCACATTTTTCAGCCAATTTGATTATTATTTTTAAATAAAAGCTTATAAAATTTTTAAGAGACTATTTGAACCCGATTTTTGAGTTTTTTTTTTTAATTTGTATTAATTTTTTTTGTGAAAAGTCCAGAAAAAGCAAAAATTTAGAAAAAATCAATTCTCCTTATACACTTGCAACTTGCACTTTATTACTCTAATGATCTATAGAACCTCCTACACAAAACTTTTCTAAAAACCAAAAAAAAACTTGTTTTGATGAAATTTTTTTATAACATTTCAGGCTTTTTTTGTGTGAAAATTTTCTTGGTTTTATGAGAACCCTACAATTGTTTTCAACTAGTTTTTATTATGATACATTTATTAACTGGAAAAGGCGAATCAAATTTTTTCAAAATTACTTATTACTACTTTTTCTGCATATTGCACAAAAAAATTTATTGTTATCAAATAAAAATGCAAAAATAAGGCAGAACTAGACTCTTGCAAATTGTATAAGCTTTCATTTAAAACGTAATAATAACACTGAGGGAAAAATGCAGGCTTCCGTGAATTATGAACAGTAAATGCCAGTTTGAACCACTGTGCGGTCGTCCAACACAAGTGACTCCGAACGTCCAGATCGCCCAAAAGAGATCGTCACGCCAGAAATCGTTGACAAAATTTATGAAATTATATTGGACGATTAAAGAATGAAAAAAGTGAGGTGGCTGAGGCTATCAAGGCCCTCAGAACTCATCAGGTATTTAACATCTAAACTGGTGATGAAGTGCCTTGATAAGCTGAATACTCTTGGTCTGACCAGTCGAGTTTGGGTTCTCTCGGATACTGGGTTAATAGATACACTATAAATCCATGAAGGGGATCTTTTGTCCGCAGTGATTTATTCCCCAACATTAAAAAGCTGTATGCTTGCTCACTCTCGAACCTAAGCGTAGCCGTGTGGAAACTTCAAAGGAGTTGAACTTATACGTACGGTGACCATATTTATGGGAGCCGGATACGGGACAAAAAAAAATTTTCCACAAAAACTTACAGCTCTTAAAGCCCTTTAAGGAATTTGTATGCTGTTACAACAACAACAACATGGGTTTAGGCGCCTGGTGTTAGCAGTCGCATCTAAACAGTATTATGTACAGATGCGTGCATCTAATTAGCAACGAAATTCAAAACGATATTGCTTGCAAATTATGTTTATTTATTTATTTTTAATAATTTTCATTTAAAATATAATTCAATCTATAACAGAAACCACAATAACAAAAGTTGCAAAGCTTGCACAAATTGCAAAAAAATTAATCAAACTTAAAAAAATCGTCATCAAAATTTCAAAATTTTTAATTAGAATATATAGAAAATGTTGGGGTATGCAGTTTTGTAGCCCATTCAATAATGAAGTGGAAGTTTCAAGTCGCTAAAAATTACCGTTGATTTTTTAGAATTTTTTTTTGTCGAGGGTGTTGCGGATTTTTTTCCAAGTAAAAAAAAATTTTGATCATGTGTTATATGGAAGAAAATGCGCAACACCCTCCACAAAAAAAAATCTAAAAAATCAACGGTAATGTTTAGCGACTTGAAACTTGCACTTTATTATACTAAAATTGAATGGGCTACAAAACTGCATGCATACCCGAAAATTTTCTAAATAGTCCAATTAAAAATTTTGAGATTTTGATGACAATTTTTTGAAGTTTGACGAATTTTTTTGCAATTTGTGCAAGCTTTGCAACTTTTGTTATTGTGGTTTCTGATATAGATTGAATTATATTTTAAATGAAAATTATTAAAAATAAATAAATAAACATAATTTGCAAGCAATATCGTTTTGAATTTCGTTGCTAATTAGTTGCACGCATCTGTATATTGTTTTTCTTATGAAAAGAGCTTTACTTTCATAAAAAATAATAAACATTAAATAAACTAGGAAAAAATTGAAAAAAGCTTGCTAATTTATATTTTGGTCACTACGTATTCCCGAATCGAAATACTGGTGTCCAGATTAGAAAATTATAACAAAAATAATAGAGAAAATTACGACCATATATGTACCAACATCACTTCAAACTAATTCATAGGCATGTCATTTTAATGAGGGGTAAAGGCGTTGAAACACCGAATACGGGACAAATACAGGACATTAAAAGAAATACAGAACATTTGGCGTCCCGTATAAAACAAATAAATTGGCAGGACAATGGGCCAAAAAAGAGGACTGTCCCGTATGATACAGGACGGATGGATCGTCCACAATACACCAGAGACCAAGGAATACTCAAGAAAGTGTAAAAAAGAAGGCCCAAGTGGGACCGACAGCCCATAAGGTCATGGCCACAATTTTTTCGGATGCACTCTGTGTCGTTCACATGGTCTACCTTGAAAAGGGCAAAGCGATCACAATATTATTTGGAGTGTTTGAACGGTTTCGATGTTGATTTGAAGCAAAAACAACCAAATTTGGCCAAGAAAACAGGGCTGGCCTATACAGACAATCAATGCACGGGTGCATAGAACATATCCATCGATTGGGCTACGAACTCCCACCTTATCCGGCATATTCACCAGATTTAGCCCCCAGCGACTATTTTCTGTTTCCAAATTCAAAGAAATGGCTGCGTGGTAAGTGATTTGGGCCGAATTAAGAGGTTGTAATTGAAACAAACGTTGGTTTTGGACGTTGGAAAACCTATTATATGTATCGATCGTTGTAATACGTTTTCGGATGTGAAAACGACTGTTTTGCTGATTATTTTTTCGTTTACTATATATTATTGCCTCTGGGATACTAAACATGGACTACTTACATGCACTTACTGTAATATATTCTTACTTATGCAGCATAAATTCTGGCATAAAATACATATATCAATGCGAGCATCATTATTTTAAACTCCAAACTCTTTATATTTACAGATCCCTTTGAAACACAAAACCGCGCCTCATCGCTGACCAGCGAGGAAAAATCGTATATGCATGACGTATTGGAAAAACTGAAGGGCTGTCGTGGCAAGAGTTGTACAATTAAACGGCATCCGCAGAACCAGTTGCAGCAGCACCAGCAACAAAACGAAAGCGCGTTGAGGACACTGGCAAGAGACAACAAACGTAAACATGGTAAGGACTTCTATATAACTGAAATGATTTAAAAGAAAAGTATCTTGGAGTATACTAAAATAATCGCCTGCCACCATCCAGCGTAGGTTAAACAGGCGTACGCCATAGGGTGGTGTATTCTCACTCCTTCTTTGGATTGGGGTCGTAGACAACCTGCTAGAGGAGCTGCCGGGTGTTTGCTTATGCGGATGCCGTTACATTTTTAGTATAGGCAAACTCTTGGAGATATCGTCTAAAATTTTAGACAAGGATGCTTTTACCTGGTTGCTAAATAGTCTATAAAACAGAATCCGTCCTGTTCACAAGGAAGTGTTAGATACCCTACGCGATACTATTCTCATCTGCAGGCATTCGCCTTGCTCTTTCTGATAGTCAAGTACTAGGGCTTGATTCCGGATGGCAAGCTGTCGTAGAAACATTTTATGGGGTCCTAGTGTGGGGGAATTCTCTATAACAGACTATGTTAGTCTAGAAGCGGATAGTGTTTATGTTGTTTGTGGGACAGTTAGAACCACTCACACAAGTTGACATGATAGATATTTAGGGGTACCGGTTACTCTGCTGGTTCATGATATGGACATTCTGATTAGTTTTTCACTTTGAAATTTGTCTTCGATATCACTATAGTTTTTGCCATCCAGAGATAGCTGCCATTAAGCGAGCAGTCGATTTGCTGCTGAATTGTGCGACGTTAGTAAAGGATAGTCTGATAGTTAAGAAATAAGCCTTCACGGTGCTCTCAAAGCTAGTTGGGAAAGTCAGGCTTAACTTTCTTCGCGTCTGCGTATTTCCTTTCAAATCATATAAGGATGCCAAGCCACTGTGATAAATAACGCAGACAACTTCGAGGCGAATGAGCTGGCCAGCAAAAGCCCCCTCGAGTTGGTCTTCTCTAGAAAGAGGTCTATGTACCTTTGAGTACATGTCCCCGTGCCTGTTCAGCGTACGTTGGGCGAAAACTGGACCACTCAAAGGGACGACCAGAGGCAGTCAAGAGATTTCATTAGGCTCTCATATCAGCATCTCTCAATTCTGGTGGACGTATTGACAGGACACTGTCAAATTGTGATTCAGCGGTGTATCAGATCATATCACGGTCGCAGCTGCTTGAAGGCCGACGTTTTTACAAGACTTTAGTTTTAACACTTGAGCTCTCTGGCTGGAGCTCTGTGGGACCAACAACTACATCATTATTTTCACCCAGGGTTTTTCGCTATAAAATTAGTAGTTAAGTGTACTCTGGGATGTGTTTTGGGGCAACCAGCCTAACCTAATCTCACCGTACCTATCGTCATCCAAATATTTAACCTATCCCAACAAAAGGCATCCGAATGGAAATAACTTTTCAATTTAATATTTTGAGAAAAAATTACCGATTTTTATTTTTTTTGCTTTTCTTCATCCCTAAATTTTCTAGTCAAGATTTAAATGTACTTTTAGATTTAGAAGTTCGCTAAAAACATCCAAAGCTCCCTAAAAAATCTGGAAATTTTTCCGAGCGGATCGGTCATACAGTCTGTCAAAGTGGCGAAATCGATATGTTTATTTCAGATGGTCAGTTCAGAAATTCATGCACTTTGAAAATATGATCTTCAGTCAAATCAAGGGCTTCAGTCCCATTTTTTTGGTATAATCTCCGGCTGTCAGCGTTTCTCCAGCTGTTCGCAGTCAGATCTTTCTGCCTCTCTTTTTTTTCTCTTTAAAAGACGGCTAGTTTTAAACTGTTTTTAAATCGAAAGAAGAAGAAGATATTTTTTAGGAGATAGAGGACTTTAATACCGGTAACACCTTAATACCGATATATTTCCTAATTCTTACGCTACACTTCTTCAAACATTTTTATATTTTATTAACCCTTTAATTCCCCAGTAAAAGCACTTTGCAATGGCCGTACTTTTACAAAGAAGCCCTCCGCTCAAAAAGCGTAGGCGTTCTAACCTAGAATTTCATTTACTGAATATCTTACTTGCTGTGTAACTGAAATGGCCCATTTATGAGTTTTTCCTAATCTTCTCATTAAGCCACTTTAACATTAAATTGGAAAATTTTACAAATTTCAGGCCTAGCGCAAAGCACCTCAGCTCTTGGTTCGTTTGTCTCCAGCCGCCTCGACTACGACGAGCCTCTCGCTAAACGAAGAAAACTATCAAAGTGAGTAGCACAAATGCATATACATACATACATACAAATGTATAGACATTAGGGTGCACCCCTCTCCATACAAAAAAAAAGTCTATATTTTAAGACTTTCGCCAAAATATTTCGGACAAATACTAAGATATGCGTTGGCTGGATCGATTTCAAAATACCTCCCTATATGGAGTTTTTTTTAAATAAAATTAGTTTTTAAAAATACTTTCTTCAAACAGTCTCGTCAGATATTAGAAGAGCTTAATCTTAAAAGGTTTGTTAATTATTTGATCAACGGAACCGAAATAATGAGGTTTTTGGAGGTATTTTCAATTATTCCAGCTCAAGTACAGGGTAAATATTTATCAGAAATGTTTTGGCGGAAGTCTTAAGAAATAATAGATTTAGAAATTCCGGTGCAAAAATCGCTACTTCTTTTGGTGAGACACCCTAATGTACATACATTTCTTCTTTTTCAAGGAAAATTTTATGAAATTGAATTTCTCTTCGACTAAACAGGTGGTCAACGCATACAAATTTGAAACGTAAACCTTGGAAACAACAACATCATTACCATCATCAACATCCACAGCAACAGCAGCCAACCTACTATAGGCAACAACATTTGCGACATCACAGCATTAGTGGTGTTGAAGGAGGCACGTTAGTTGTGGGCAATGTAGCAGCGAGTGGAGCAAAAACTTTGCGTCGTAATCGCTTTCAACAAGAAGTGAATAGTCAACATAGTATACCACAACAGCAAAAGCTACGCGAACCACAGCAACAACAACAACAAGGAGAAGTGCAGCAGTTGCAAAATATTAGCAACAAAAGTGATAACTTTGAGCAAAAATTGATTTCAAGTCAAAGTTTGACCACCGGCGTGGTGGACGGCACAGGCATGGAGCCAACGCAAAGTTTTACAGAAGTTATTGGAACAACACCACGAACGGCTGTAGTGACTGCAGCAGCAGTAACACCGGAAGCAGTGACAATAACAACAGCTGGAGCAACAACTACAACAACAAATGCAACAATACTCACCGCAGCTATATAAGAAAGTTGTTGGGGGAAATGTTAGGTGTTTAAGCTTATCCTTTGCATATCCTTAAAAGCACACACTTACATACACTCGCCTTAGGGTATACATACATATATAAGTAGTAGATATGTATATACATACATACATGTATATGTAGATATGTATGCAACATCGCCCAAAAGTAAATGAAGCTATTTATTTCTTATGACTCGGCAATTTTTGGTATCGCTTTGCCTCTGCAACTATTTATGTAAGCTCAGCGTCTACTGCTAATGCAAATTCGTTCAAATGCATGCACATTAGGGTGCCCGAGAACTAAAGAGGAAATTTTTTTGTTAAATTCGATATGCACAACACCTAAGTAATTAACTACTAACAACATATAGCGAATTCAATTGCCATTCATTGGATATGCCATTTTGGTTTGGTTCTATAAAAAGAAACTAAATCAAAAAAGTAGCTCCTTAAACCTCTTAAGAATTCAATTATCTATCTGTTTTTGAATAGTAAATTTCACGTTTGCACCACTGTGCGCCCGTGCAAAAATCCGCTGTAACTAGATAAGGCTGAGTAGTTCCGGAGGCCACCAGGGTTTTATAAAAGGTTCCCAGACTAGCTGATTCTTGGTATAGCACATCTTTCCGGACCTAAAACAAGAAATATAAGTGGTTAGCGCAGGAATTTTCGTTGAGATGGATATGCAAAGTAGGTAAGTAAGGTCAGAAGTTTGTTTCCCCAAACACGATCACATTTGGACCACTATCATCGATACTTTGAGATACCACTAAGAACGATAACTGCTAATCTAAAGCGAAAAGTGCTGTATGTAGGATCTGTTGTTATTTTTAGTCTCAACGCGTCCTGTTAATGCATCCACCAGAAATCAAAGTTGCGGCTGTGTGATCCCAAGAAGATCTATAACCGGCTTCGAACAAAAAGGCGGTGCAGTTAACACATGTTCTTGTTGTTGTACAGCGTTCGCTGAGCTGGAAAGAGCGGTCAACAAGTAGTCAATGCAACGCCCCTACCCTATTTTCTTCTTAATTCACGGTTAGATGAACTCGAAGGAGTATTTCCTGGTCAGCTCTTACAATATCACTATGAAGCAACTAAAAGAGGGATCGGTCGTCCCCCTAGTAGATGTTGAGCAGTCATTCGAATGATTTCTGAACTCGAAGGAGTATTTCCTGGTCAGCTCTTACAATATCACTATGAAGCAACTAAAAGAGGGATCGGTCGTCCCCCTAGTAGATGTTGAGCAGTCATTCGAATGATTTCTTTTGCATGAGGTCTTGGCGTAATACCTCTCCCCCTTTCCACTGGGTGCTCCTTCCAACTTCTTATCGCCCACTTATTCCTAGGAGGATCTGATTAGAGTCACAGTAACAGGAAAAAACGCCCTTTGTCCTTTATTTCTTAAACCGTTCCTTAAACCAGTCTTGGATTTGTTTAAGCTTTCATTTCTAAATCGAAAATATAAATTCACGCTGAAGTTGTTCCTTTTAAAATCAAGTGAAAGCAAAAGTATATCTTGCCAACCTGTTGAATTTTTGACTAAGTAGCCAACTGATAAGCAGAGTCCTCTCGGGTTAGTACGGTGTTAGTACGAATTTTTTTATACTGAAGAATATAGTCGACTACTACGGTCTCAGCATAACTTCATAGAAAAAATTTCAATATCAACATGATTTAGATCAGATGATAAAAGTAAATATGGTATACACATCGAATTTCACCAAAAAAAGATATTCTTGTACACCCTAATGTATGTAATTACAGCCACAAATTGAATAGGTATTTAAACCACAGATGAAAATACATGTACGGAGTACGTCTCCTGCAGTGAAGGCTACTAATTCTGAACCAGATTACTAGCAGTTATATAATTATGTTTTATCTTTAATTTGTTTACTTAGTTAATCTTAAGTACTAAAACTTATAATCCTTTTGTTCTGAAATCGGTTTCTTACATCGTAACTTACGTGTTTTTCTTTTGAAAGTTTTTAAAACCTCGCAAGTGCATTTACACGAACCTATGATTTCAGACCTAGTAGCTGGAATCTAAGTCTCTGAGACTTGTTGTCCCTAGAGCGCCGGTTCGTAAATTATTCAAAATTGTGAAGCTGGTCAGCCTTTCACTTCAGGGTCTGTTCCTGTTCATGTTTTTCAGTAGGGCTTTGCAACTTCTTTCAAAGCGCACAGGTGTGGTTTTAAGCTCTAAAGACTCCCTTTCGATGTAGTTGCTGTGCACTCGCACGCCAAATCCGGACAAGTTTCCATAATTATCTGTTTAACGAACCCACTTTAGAAATGTTAAATCCGAGTTTTCGATTTTCGGCTGTAATTTCATTAGAGGTTTAAACCCAGTGAATTTTTGTAATTTACTAAATAGTTAATGAGAAATCTCTAAAATTGCTTAGATAAAAAAAATCTGAGAAAAAAGATCACGTGAAATTTATATAGAATGAATATATGAGTTAAGGCAAAAAATTGTTCTTTTTGTGTAAGCAAATAGTAAATCATAAGCAATATTAAAATCAGCTGCGCTAAACTTGAAAAATAATCAGTAAGAACTGCAAGTGATTTAAAAACAAAATCTATTTAACTTAATACATATAAAGTTCAAGTGAAAGTAAATGTATAATATTATAATGTTTAGTTTTTGTTTTTAATAAGACTGTTTTAGTAGATTAACAATAAGCCTAAGGAAAAATACTAACATAATTAATTGTTTTACATGTAAATGTTTACAAATTTATAAGCAGAAAAATATAAAAACTGTGAGCAGCTATTGAAGTTGGCTAAAGGTATTGATTGTGTTATTAGTAAGAAAATATGATTTATAATTCGAAATTTATGATAAGTCAAATTTACCAAAAAAAAAAAACAAAACATGCATTAGTTTAACGAAATTATATTCAATAAAAAATCATAAATATATTATGTAGATAAATATAAATGAAAATTTGCATGCGCAAAAACAGCATTTGATAAAAAGGGAAACAAAAAAAATATTACACAAGCTTAAAATACGCAGCGTAAATTTGACAAAAAAAAACTTTGCTAAAGCTATGATTAAGACGAGAAAATCATTGAAACTCTCCCTTAATTTTCAGAAATGGGTTGAAAGTTTTTTTTTTTATGTATATATGAGTCAATTTATCTCAAATCGACCATTTTCGATTTGGATGAATTTTGGCCAGCACTTTTCTTTTAACATATAGTTTTTTCGAAATTTAAAAATTAGAAATTTAAAAATTTCTTAGATTTTGCAAGTTTATTTTTTGACCATCGCAACAACTATTATAGTTGGCTTCATTTTAATGATGATATTTGGGATAGTTAAAAAAAAAAACTCAAAAAACATATAGTTAAAAATTTCACAATTTCGTGGATTTTGCAAATATACTGTGAATATCTCAAAAACTATTATACTTAAAAAATGATTCCGGTAAAAAAAAAATTACAAAATTTTGAAACTAAAAATCTTTAAAGCCAAATTTTATAAAAAAAAATATTGTGGCTCCATTTTTTACAATACCTTACACTGCGCTTAAAATTTTCACGGAGTGGTTTTTTAAAGATATGAATTTTTGATCTTAAAAAAAATTACAAAGTCTAAATAAAGTTACGTTAAAATGTTTTTATTTTATTTTAATTTATTAATAATTTAGAGTTTGCAACAATTTTTTTTTTTATTCAAACATTCATACTTTTAAAAATATAAAATAAAATAATTTTTTTTAAGTTCAATTCATATATATGTATGGAAAATTTTAAGATATTTTCAGACCACTTGAAGTTATTACATGCAAAAAATTTACCAACAATTTTTAAAATTAACTTTTACGATTTATTAAATTTTAAAAATTTATAGTTTTTCTATTTTTTTTTAATTCAAATGTATTTTTTATATCGCCCCAAATACCTTTAAAAAGCGGGCAGAACCATTTTTGTAGCTGCACTAGTTTTTGAGAAATTGTGAAATTTTGGACTTTCAATTTTTGTTTTTCTTTTTGCCCAACTTTGTTATATGATAAAAAAAGTTCTGGCCAAAATTCATCCACATCGGAAATGGTCAATTCCAACCATTTGTCGATTTGGCATGGATCAACCCATTTGTATTTACTAGTGTTGGGCAAAAGTACTCAGAACTCGATTCTCAAAAGGATCGACAGAAACCGATTTTTAAAAGTATCGATACTGAGTACTCCAAAAAACTCAGTACTCACAAAAGAACTCGAAAGCACTTAGTACTCAAAAAAGGAACCCAAAAGTACTCAGTACTCATAAATACTGTGTTGCAATAATGGCTTTGATACATGTACTCAAGATCGATTCAAAGTACTCAGTATTAAGTGTCGAATAGACTCAACAAGTACTGAGTTTTATTTACATTCAACGGTATTAAGAAAGGATTGTACTCAATTTGCAGTTTCAATAATTTTCGAGTACAATACTTGTACCCAGTGACGTAATTTCGGATTCATATATTAATTTGAAAAAAATACTGCCAGTTTGTGAGATTTGTGCACTGAAATGTTACCGATATGTGTATATTTAAAGAAAGTAGTCAGTACTCTGAAAAATACTCGATCCTTAAAAGTATCGATACCAAAGAACTCGATTCTCAAAAAAACTCTGTACTTCCCAACACTAGTATTTACATATACATATTATTCCAAAAATATTAAATTAATAATTTTTGGAATTGATTGGTATTTAGGACTGATTTTCTTATTTCCAAATCGGCTGTTTTCTTCGTAAACTTGAGCTAGTTCTTCATCACGCGTGCACGCGGTTCCTTCTGCAGTAGACCTTTCCGTTTTGTTCTTGACGTTTGGCGCCCTTGCTCTCGAAGGATCCTTTCACTGGAGCGTCGCCATTCATACGTTTCTATGCGTTCAACTAAATGTGCCCATTTCATTTTCGTCGCCCATGTAAACCGGGCCATAGAATAAGAATAGATCTCTCGAAATGTAGTAAGGCCTTCTCATCTTTGTTCGACTTCGTTCACGTTTCAGCGCCATTCAAAAAAAAAACGGGCATGACGAGACTTCAAACGTGTAGGCTTTGTTCGCCGGAAGAGTGATCTTCGCGTTATTGTTGGTCTTCCTGCTGAATTGTAAGTAGACATATGTAGGCCTTCACTTTTTCAAATTTATGACTGGCAACTGTGAAGTGTGGCCCAATAACCGAAGACTTCTCTATAGCTTCATTTTATAAGCTAGAATATGCTGCGCTGAGGTCCCTGGTTCCTGATCGGTTTGTTGGCAATTTTTTTTTTTTCACCAGTACTTTACCGATTTGGTTCCCTAGATTTTTTGTAGCTCAGCCTTAGAGAAGCCTTAGGAAAAAACTTTATTGTGCAGAATTTAACAAGAGTGATAAATGTCTACTGGCAAGGTCTACTACCACAGCTCCAGACTTTGGACAGTAGAATTTGCTGGACATAAATCATATCTAATTACTAGCTAGCTGGCTATTGTACCGCCTTTAAAACTACATTAGATTAGGTAAGGGGTTAAAGTGGCTACCGGCGTTTAGGTGCATGGGTGCCTTCCAGGCGTAGATAATGGTGAGATCGGCCCTATTAATAAGATATAATTCCGTTCACGTTCTTAAGTAGAGGACATTCTAGCTGAATGAGTTGGCCTGAGCATTTCTTGTCGAAGCTGGGCCAGATTTCTCATTTCGTCCTAGAAGTGGGTAATGTTAGGGTAATTCGTTAGAGTATTGATGCCACCGTAATTTAAGTAAGTATTTCCATTATATTAATGCATTTAGTCCTAAAGCACTACAGCTTGTCTGAAATTTCCCAAAAAAGGTTTTATGGCAGCTTTCTAGGGCTGTAGTAGGCGTAGTGGGCAGCACACCATTGAGTTGAACGCATGCCGAGAGTTAGAAATAATTAGCGACTTATCTAGTGATGTCCAAAGTCCACCAGCGGTTGCTTTAGCCCAACAAGAGGCAGTGACTTTGCGATCACTTCTGGGAGTACATTATCAAACGCTTCTTCGATAACTAGAAACGTATCTAGCGTAAGGTCCTTAGGCGCCAGCGCTTTTTCGATACGGGGATCAATTGGGGTTTAGTGTGGAGTCAAGGAAGAGTGTGGTTAGTTGAGTGGGTTTAAGGGGTCCTATGAAGGGATGGTAATGTCATACTGGATGTGATGGACT